CAGCAGGAAGTGCTGGAGTAAAAAAAAGAAAATAATGCAGGGGCCTCATCAAGAGGGACGTGCAAGAGAAAACTGACATGCATGCACAACAGAAAAAAAGACCAGGGTCTTGTCCTGGTTTCGGCTGGGATAGAGTTAATTTTCTTCCTAGTAGCTGGTATAGTGTTGTGTTTTTGACGTAGAATGAGAATAATGTTGATAACACACTGATGTTTCAGTTGTTGCTAAGTAGTGTTTACGCTCATCAAGGACTTTTCAGCACCCCAGCAAGCTGCACAAGAAGCTGGGAGGGAGCATAGCCAGGACAGCTGACCCAACTGACCAATGGGGGATTCCATACCATATGACGTCATGCTCAGTATATAAAGCTGGGGGAAGAAGAAGGAAGGGGGGGACGTTCGGAGTGATGGCATTTGTCTTCCCAAGTAACCGTTACACGTGATGGAGCCCTGCTTTCCTGGAGATGGCTGAACATCTGCCTGCCCATGGGAAGTAGAGAATGAATTCCTTGTTTTGCTTTGCTTGCGTGCACAGCTTTTGCTTTCCCTATTAAATTGTCTTTATCTCAACCCATGAGTTTTCTCAATTTTACCCTTCCGATTCTCTCCCCCATCCCACTGTGGGTGAGTGAGTGAGCAGCTCTTTGGTGCTTAGTTGCCAGCTGGGGCTAAATCACGACAGTCTGAGTTATAGAAACCAAATATAAAATCAGATTCAACAGATGTTACTCATAGAAATAATCTTCACTGGTGCACTGAGCTCAGTGGGACTACCTGAGAGAGTAAAAACTTCATGGAAATGATTGTAAAGGCAGGTGTATGAAGGCTAAAACAAGCCACACTTTCTGAAAGATTAAACATTTATCCAGTGGAAAAAAGAGCTTAGCTAATACCTACAGATGAGAGTCTTCAAACAGCCTAATTTATGGTAACTATCTTAAGTGCCTGAATTAGGAAGCTCGTCTCCCTGTATACCGATAAAGACAGCTGTGAGTCAGAGCAGAAAGCCTAACGGCGATGCTCTGGATCATGCTTTGGAGAAACTATACACACACTAGTTTTTTCATTTAGCTACCTAAGATAGATGCTCCATTCTAACCTCAAAAATCCAAAACTATCAGTTACTGCCAACTGCGTAAAGCAAGCCATACAACTAACAACTTTTTTTGAAGACACCACCGGGAGTTTTTGTAACGATTGGAGTAGGGAAAAGAAGCTTCTTTGCCTGGCAGAAACTTTAAACCCAAAAGTTTTCTCAAAGAGTATTGAAGGCATGGATCCAACACTTCTTTGCCCTCTTTGGACAGACTTAGTGACAAAGGGAAAGGGCGACGTACCAACAAAACAGAAATTGTCTACTTGGAACATGTTAGTCTGAGTGACCTTGGCACTCCCTTTCCATGTACAATGGGGACACCGTGCTTTTGCAGTTGTCATCATTGATCTCTGGAGATACTGTGAATGTGTACGCTAAAGGTGTGTCTATTTACTCCATTCGATAGGCAGTGATAATAGTCTGTCACTAGAAGTAGACAGAACAATAAGGAGACACTTAAATCCCTGGTCAAAAGTACTTCAGTTCCAGGTTTTCAGGTCCTGAGCACCTTGCAGAATTGCCTCAAAGAATACTAAAAAAGAATCCGACTCCTTACATACATGGGACTTCCATATGAGTGTCTTCACTGCTGGATTCATCCCTAACATAGTACATTTCAAATACATTCTTGGGCAAGTAAAAATTTCCACAGCAAGGTTGATAAAAATTTCTTGAGAAAAGCATAGTTTCATTAGTTATAACATTCCTGGAATCACAAGACACAATGCGAATACACTGAACCACACCGTTTCTTCACATGGCTCGAAGAATTACAATGAGTTTTGTGAACTGGTTTCTACCTTTTGAATTTGAACTCCGGTTTCCCCCCCATTTCTTCCTTTCTTTATAATCGCCAGATTCAATCTCTACAAGAGATTTGAATTTAATAGAGCAATGTTTTAAATATGATGTTTCCCAACTGATCATTCAAAACCAAGCTTAGCAAGGTCTTTAACAAGATTTAAAAGCTTACTGAAAACTATCTAAATGAAAACATATGGGTCTTACCCTCCACAAGAACACATTCCTATCATGTCTATGAGT